TGTGTGTGTGTGTGTGTGTGTTCGTCTGTCCGGGTATTTCAACTCAGCAACCAAGCAAGTTCCAGCTCCAAAATTTTGCTAGTGGGTTTCTCAGCCAAGTGCCACTGCAGAACTGCGGTACCAACCCTAACGCAAATCTGGGCCCCGCGCATGAGAGGGTGAAATTTTTGACAGGATTACTGACAACTCGGGGACGAGAATGCGTTTCTGCAGTTTCTGCATTATGCGTTTCTGCAGTATTTCGTGCTGTTGTCGGGTCGCTTGGAGTCCCTATAGCTAGAATTTATGGCACACTAGTCCCCAAAGTTCAGAAAATTAATTGTGCAACTATATGGCACTTGATCTCGGAGCACGCCCTCAAAATTTCAGTTTGCTCTTTTCTGGTTTCCGAGTTAGAAATTTTCTCGCCGTATGTGAGAATCATGCATATCTCGGGGCTGAATTAGAAAACTTTGAGTTCTGCGTGGAGTAAGAATATCCCTTTGAAATTTCAGCTCCACTCTTTCCCCCCAGCTTTCCTTACTTCTGAGTCAACCATTTTTTCGCTAAAAATTTTCACGGAGTCATGCGTGAAAACCTCGCATATCCAGGGTTGAATTTGAAATATTTGAGTCATACATGGGCTGGAAACATTCCCTTAAAATTTCCGCTTCCCAGCTTTCCTGGCTCCCGAGTTATCGATTTTCCTGCTAGAAGATTTCACGGGCTCGGAAGGGGGAACCATAGATGCTTAAACTGAAATTTTTGAATTCTATGCGGATGGGAGCAGAGCCGCAAAATTTTAGCTTTTTAGCTTTTCTAGTTCCCGAGTTAGCGATTTTCCTGCCACAAATTTCACGCGCTTGTACGCGGGACCTAGACGTAATTGAGGGATAGTGTCGCGGTCCTGGGATGGCCTTTGGCCGGGAAACCCATTGACAAAATTATCGAGTTGAAATATCTGGACAGACGCATACACATACACACACATATACACATCGGGTTCGTTACAGTATGCGTTTCTGCATTTACATATATGCAGAAACACATAAAAATTGTTTTTACTCGCGTCTGTTACTCTCTGTGTTTAAGCTGAGAAGTGATAAACACACTGCGTACTGATCTGTTCTTTCATCCTATGTCGAAATTTCATCCCCACCTTACGTTTCAGTATTGTGATTTGCACAATAGCCGCTGTATATGTTGGTCGTTCAAAAATTATACTTGCTGCTGCTGTTTTGGTCAACACTATTATGGTTCTGGTTATTTACATTACGTTGTGGCTATATATTATCATGAAAAAAAGTAGATATTTGATTTTATCGCTTCAGTTTTTCCTTTTGCTTCGATTCGACAAAGAATTCAGTAAATTTGTGAAAGCAGGCTTCTGTGAGCTCCTGAACAGAGGATGGATTTGTTTTTTATCTTTCTGTACTGGAAGAGAGCGGGAAATGCATACCGGTTAAATCCTGGGCGTGTACTTGTCAACGTTTTTTTTTTCAGCATTTTAATGTGTGTACACATGTATGTTCAAAATTTTGTCTAGTTTTTTAGCTACAGAAATGCTAGGAAACGGAAATTCTACAAGTTAAAGTACAACTCGGAGGATGGTAATTCAGCTTTCACGCATGTCGAATTCTCATTTTCAAGCAGAAAATTTTTAAATTCGAAAATCTGATACGGCAGAAAACTGAAATTGCAATGGGGTTTTTCCTGTGGAAAAAAGATCAAATTCAATTTCTGCTTGACTTCTCAATTGCGGATGTCAAAAATCGTGAATTCCGAGAAATAAAAATTTCAAAAGTTTCGTAAACCCTTAAGTTTCTTCGCTGTTTTTCCTGCACAATTTAATTATGCTCATACAAGCGAATATGGCACCTAATCATGCGTTAGTTCTAGAAACGCCCAAGATAAGGAGAAGATACATAATACAAAACAAGAATAAGGTGATATTGCTCTTTGCAGAATTTCAGCTTCGCAGCATGTCCTGTCTCTGAAATCATCATTTCATCTGAAATTTCGTTGACATGCAGGCCTAATAAGAAATTCCATTTGGGTATACGATTTCCCAACTGGTTTTCGAGTTGGGACGATGTCAGCCGTGCAGTTTGGTAAAACTGTAGGCCTAACGCAAATACGATCGATAGCTGGGTTAAGTAATTGCGGAATAAGCTGATGCAGTTGCTCCGAGTAAATACTGTTGCAGTTGAAGTATATTCGGAAAAACTTTTACATTCGCTCTCGGTAATTGTATTGTTTTTCGCATGCGGCTGGCTCGTCACTGCAATCTTATTTTTACTGAATGCGATCTTCGATATACGTGGAATGAACTCTTTTTATTCATTAGTTTCTGCCGGCTTATTTGTTAACTGCACTGTTGCTTGCAACTATTTCGTCTTGAAACACTGCAGGTCAGAGTTTCTAATCTAATTCAGTTGTACAAGTTGATATGAAATACACGTGAATTGAGTTTAACCAATAAAGGGAAAACAGAGAATGCGGCCTGCCTTTCTTATCCAAACTTTATTTTTAATTTTGGCTAAAATCTTACTCCGCTATTTTAAGGCACGTAACTCAAAATCAGTGAGACTAGTCTAACTGCCAAAGTGTATGGGAACATCTTAGTAACATCCAGATGTGGATTCCCAAGCCAACTGTTCAGGGGATCTCGGTATTCTTGGTAGAAATAGAATGCGTAGTAGGTTCCATCAAATTAAGAAGCAACCTTTCCTTTACGATTTCGAGTCAACAACAGCCTTTGCAGCGAGAAGTAGTCTCCATCCGGTTTACTTTCCGTTCCATTTGTCCTGAACGGAGCCCTTTCTTGAAAACTGTTCTGGACTGGGAGGGCATCCAGTTACTCCTCTTCACGTCCAGAGGCGAAACATTACCACTATTCCATCGGTTCTTGTTCTCCGGATTCATCCTGTCAGCATATCTACTGTATACGCTAGGCAAGATACACTTTTCCTTTCGTTTTTTTTTTTCTTTATGGCGGTTTCTCGACCTGCTTTTAGCGAGTTTTTTGCGACACTATCTGTCACATCGAAGATGGAAGGGAAGAATATTAATATTTAGCACGAGATTTGTCTCCCAATTCCGAAAATACTTGACGCAAAAACAGTTCTGTTGACTATTTTTATGATAGTACATTCTAATGTTGTAGTATCCTCAGTGTCGCTGTGACACGTCCGGATACATCTGAAAGTAGCGCGTAATC